GTTGCTACTATTTATTACTACTAATAATACAAGTAGTAATAGCAGCATTTCCTGCAATTCAGAGTGTACTGTTGAGGAATTTATATCCTGTCTTTTGACTATGCATAGTATTCAGGGCAGTGTCAACAGTAAAACCCAATTTGCAAGCATTATTTGTAATCACTGTTAAAATAATATGTACAAGTATAGATAATATCCCATTTATAGTAAAACAAAAGGAAATAAATTTGTAAGCCACCCAGAAAACCCTTGGGTTATGGAATTGCATAAAGTGGAAATAAATAAATAAATAAATAAATAAATCAACAAACCAGCAAGAGATTAAGAGCCATTAAAGATGCAATCCCATAAAATATTAGACAGAAAAAATGGCCCAGCCAGGATAGCTTGCACTGAACTGCAACCTAAATGTGCATCAGAGCACAATCAGTCCTCAGTTGCAAGTTTTCAAATCAGAAATAGAGTCTGTGCTTTTTCCTAGCGTTACATATAATTTAAAAATTGGAATTAACTACAAAAGTGATCTCAAATATCACTAATTGAAATTAAGGAAACTTTGTGTGATTAATTTCATGAAGGTCATCATATGTCTTAAGAAAATAAAATATAATCGCATCATGTGCTGTATAGTATCTTCATATTCAGAAGGAAAATAATGACCATTTCAATTTTATTACAATAATATTTCAAAATGCAAACCTACTTCAGAGATTAAAAGATAAATATTTTCAGGATTTCATTTCACTAAGGTCTAGTTTTAATTGAATGTGTTCAGAAAAATGAGCACTTTACCGGGATGCTTGTGGATGTCATGATCCGCATCTGGAAAAGCGAGAACAAAACATGGTGATAAATAGCTGGCAATTAATTTTAGAATTTCTTGTACAAGTTCAGTTAACATGTAGAATGCATGCATATTTTTGTGCCTCTTTTTTCCAAATGTCCGTATCAATTGTGTGTATCTTTGAAATATATGCATTCCTTACCCTTTGTTCTTTATAAAAAAAAATAAAGGATATTCTTTATTCCTGATTAAAGCATATTTGTGTGTATTTTCAAATGTATGCCTGCTGTCAAACAAATTCTGTTTGGCCTGTGAATTACATTGCATGCTTGGAAATGCATATGTTCTTTTACAAGCTATAGAACAAAACAGGAATGGCCTCCTCCAAAATACTCCCCTGGTGCCTATGTCTTGAGCCTTTTGGCTTTCTCTTTTCATAACCTGAACTTAACATCAACTAATAATTAATAAAGCTGTTGAAATGTTTAGAGTTTAAGATCTTAAACTTTTCATGCAGCTATGGGTCTATTATATTCATTTCATTTTTGCTGCTCCTTTTTGCTTAAGATATTATGGTTCTGGTTTTATCTTTATAGGTGATTGTCTTTCTCTAGTTTTAAGTTGCCTAGAGAGTCTTTGTTTGCCAGCTGAGATATACATCTCATAAATAACAAATGTCATCCGAAAAGAAATAAGAACATGGAAAGAGACATTTAAATTGTTGCTTTGCTACCTCGGAAATTCCTTTCTACTGCCCCCAGGCTCTGGGAGCTCACAAGCAGGACATGGATGTGGTGTTGGGTATGGACAGACTTTACCACACAAGCATTTATCAAGTCTCTCTATTACAAGAAATTAAGGTTTCACAAGCACAGCCTTGGTGTGGTAGAAGCCATATATACATTAGCATCAAAGGAGGACATTCTCCATGTAAGACCATCAAGTCCAGATTCTAAGGAATCACTGTGAATAAATTGATTTTGATTCCAGATGCCTTACTTGACAGGGAAAATATGTTTTGATATATAGGGACTAAGACTGTACCACATTGCTCAAAGGATCAATGGCATGGAAGGCTTACTATGTAAAATAGAAAGTATTGCTATGAAACTGAGAGACTAGACGGACAGGAGAAACTTATTCCTGTCTATTGCTGAACTACTACTGGTCTGAATGGTCAGAGTCAAAATAGACGAGTATTTTAGAAGCTACAGCTAAATGGCCCAGGAAGGCCAAGAGTTCCCAGGAAGAGAAAGGGGTCAAGCAGGCTGCCAGGGGAAAACAGAAGCAGTTTTTGAGAGACAAGAGAAAATGCTTTGCTGAGGGGTTTGAGCGTGTCAGACAAGCCAAGAGTAATGCTGCCAGACTCTCCCACTTAGGCTGGTCTCCTAGCAGGGTCACCTAAGACAGAATGCTCAAAGTGAACCATACTAAAATGCATCTACCCTTTTCAGGACTGACTGTCACATCTGCTGAAGAAAATGGATATTGCTCATGGTGATGGGGTGGAGTGATCCTGACGGGCGGCTACTGGACGACAGCAGTTGAGGGTGACACTGATGGAAGAACTTTCCAGACAACAGGAGTGATGCCCAAACTAACTCTGGTTGGTCCCGAGCAGAAGGCGGCAACGCGAGTCACCGCTGCATATCCCTTCCTTTGAAAATGCTTTGATGAAATGATCCAAATTGAAGCAAGAAATAGAGCCAGAAGATGAGACTTCCAGTCAGAAGGCTGTAGGTCAGCTATTCAGGAAAAGCAAAAGCATGAACTGTGCTGTCACTAATGACACAGCCAGGTGAAAGCTGAAAGGACGTCTACTGGCTGACGTGCACAGAGATAAAAGGAAAGTCCAGTGCTGCATAACACATATAACTGGAACGTGAATGGTGACAAATTTGAGTCTACTGGGAACCATAGAGCAAGAAACAGAACAGCTAAACACTGCAGTACTTGAACTAACATGGACTGGAATAGGTCATTTTCTGTCAAGCACAATGTGTTTTACTCTGGGAATGACAAACTCAGAAGAAACGGAGTGGCTCTAATACTGATGTGAGAGGTAACACAGGCAATAAGCAGCAATAATGCAAAGTACAATAATATCAACCAAGATCTGTAAAAAACCTACAAGCATGACCTTCATTCAAATCTATCCTTCAACCACAAATGTCAAAGAAGAAATCGAAAACTTTTATACAAGCATCCAAGAGGAAATCAGTAACACAAGACATGCTGATAAGCACAGGTGACTGGAACACACAAGGAGGAGACAAAGCAGAATCCAGTGTTGCAGAACAATTTGACCTAGGGGTCAATATGTAAAAGAGAGAAAATGTTTTTAAAGTGACCCTTCCATTATCTGCAAGTTACAATTTCAGAGAAAGTAGCATCAATGCAATGCAGACTTCTCACTTTCAGAATCCTGACTCTAAAGCAGTGTTAACTACACCCATGTCTGCACCCCCAGACTCAGAGGAAAGAGGCCGCACATACAGCACTCTAGATGTTCCTTGGCCTCATGGTCTTGCTGCAGCTGCCGACTACTGGAGCCTCTGGGTAGTCTGCCTGCCCGCCCCTGCCAAGTGGGGGCTGATTACGCCTGTCTGCTCTTCCCAGTGACATCCTGCAAATAACTGTCTGCCATGGGGGAGATGGAGCGGCAGCTTCCACTTCCTCCCTGCTTGCAGCTCTGGCCCAGCAGGATCAGCCTCTTGCTGGCAGTTGCCACTTTGCCAGCAGCTCACCAAGTGCTGCCCTATTAGAAGAGGCCCCCAGTGTAAAACACATAGAAACACAGAAACAGAGTGAGTCAGAAGGGGTCTCCCAGGCCATCTAGTCTGACCCCCGGCTCCAGCTGGCTCTGCTCACGACATGCCCACCACGTGCATGTCTAGCCTATCCTTGACCATCCTCACCAATAGGGCCTCAACCACCTCCTGTGGAAGTACATTCCATACCCTCGGGGTCCTGACTGTCAGGAAGTACTTCCTGGCATCTAAATTGAACCTTGGTTCCTTGAAGCAAGGCCCTGACGTTTCCCAGATGCTGCCACCATGTAACAGAGGAAGTGAAAATTCATGCATGCAGGCATGAAGGAAGCATGTATTCTGTATTCGAATATTTGCTCCTCAACACATATGCAATGAGCAGCCATCCTTTGCTGCTGTGTTCCATGGCCAATGGTTACCATGTTTGACCTTTGCTGAATATATTCAGTAGTCTTCAATAAACCAAAGGTGATGAGCTGATTCATGTATATTTATGTCCAGTCATTTCTGATAAGGCAGCTTTCCCTAATCTGGGGTGCCACAAACAGGCTGGAGCAGAACCCACAGAAGTTCTGCTGGCTGGAGGATTCCAGGAGTTGTGGTCCAGCCCATCTGAAGCACCCAAGGCAGGGGAAAGTTGTTGTAACTAGACCAAGGCATCTATGAAATTAGTCCATATAATCTTAGCGATCCCTGATCACACAGAACATGAGACAACCAGCTTATTTTCCTATCCTCCTTTGTTACATTGATTTAGAAATTCGGGGGATCACTACTGAATTAATTGGTATTATACTTGCTGGACCAATTGATCCCCAAAACATGTCCATTCACCCCAGGAATCAGCAGCACTGAGAAAGACACCAAAATGAAACATGTTATGGGAATTCTCACACAAGGTTCTCTTGCTTCAGTGGTGTTCCAAGTGCAAGTATAAAGCTTCCATTAATCAGAATGCTTCTTTGCATCACAAGTCCCTTTTTCCATGCAAACACCAAACAGGTGACTTAAGCCCCATGTGGGATAATGCCCTTTGTAAGTTGCCAAAGGTTTATGTACAGTCATGCCCTGATCATTTTCAGATCAGCAGGTACTTTGGCATCAGTGTGACTCAAAGTTTCCATGTGTCTTTTTCAAAAAGTGAGGTGAAAAATAATTTCTAGCTCTAGAAATGAAACGGAGGCAAGGATGTTGACGGTGACATCTGTGGAAAGTCTGTGCTAGCAGCAGACAGTTATTTGAACCACTTGGGGGGAGTTGTTTTTAAGAACAGTACATTGCAGAACGCTGGCTCCTCTCCATATTAAAGAAATATGATACAGAAGACAGATCAATAGGTTTTTACATGCACTTCAAATGTCTCAATCTTTACTGTTTAATCACCCATGATAATTTTTATTACCTTGCATAGGCCTATCATATGCATTATGTACTATTTAAATTAACCTCTTGGGTATGCCATAGATACTTAGAACCTAACTGCATTTTCACATATCGTAATAGACTAGTCATCTTAGAGCTACAGAAATGCAAAGTCACAAACAGCACAGATGTCTCATATTTGTAACTTAAACTATGGTGGCATATTGCTGCATTAAAAGAAATAAAATGTTGATTCATTACATTGATTTCCTCCTCCCCCACCCTGTGAAAATTAGATCAAAAGCCTATATATTTCAGAAATCTGAAAAACGGTTCATTCACATTTCATCCAAGAATAAGTAAAGGGCAGTTGCATATCAATAATTCTCTGTTCATATTAGACAGTTCTTAATATAATAAAAAATTTAGTTTACTTGAAAATTACCTGGCTGTTAAAAATGGTCAGCATTGCTTTCTGAGATGCTGTTACCAAAAAATCCAGCTGTGGTATCTTTACTATGCACTTTATTACATCACGTCTCTTCACTCCTGCCAAAGAAAAAAACTTTTTATAAAAATTCTTGCAATAAAACCTCTAGGAATCCACAGAATTAAAAGCAAGATAGACGGCATCTCCTTTAGGAGGTCTGCATGCAAGATAGAAAGAAAGCATGCTGTGATTTAAATTAGATTTTAATAAAGTTCTTGCTTGAATATGTTTTTCATTGACAAAATTACATCAATTGAGTCACTCAAAAGGACATGAAAACATTCATATGGAAAAACATTAATAAGGAACCTCAGCCATATAATAAACTGTGTAATAATACATGCCCTAAAACTCAAAGTAATTCAATATTTTGTATAAACTGATCTATTTAATTTGTTTTGAAAATATATTACATGTTCCTCACTTCCCTGGAAAGTTTGAGGGGGACAGTATTGATTTGAATTTCCTTTGGATGAGAGATCCTTGAAGACTTATGGCGCCTTTTTAATATTTGCTTCGTTTACAAATATGCATGCATATGATAAAAATGAAACTCAGCCTGTTTTGGATGGGACTGAACTCAGTCTAAAGGATCTGGGTCAGACTCTTGTCCAAGCTCAGCATTGTCCCAGCATGCTCCATTTTTTTACCAAGGAAGGTGGGGTGGTGCAGCAGCTGCAGCTCTTACTGCCCATAATAATCCACGACTCAGTGCTCTTTATGGAGGCACAGGCGGGGTGGCTGCCAGGAGTGCTATATACCCACTTAGGCTGAACTGGCAATGGCAACCCTGTCAAGGACGGTTGCAGCCCCTGAGAAATCTGACATAGCCACAGTGACACAAGCCTTGGTTACAGCTTGGCTAGATTCCCACAATGCACTCAGTGCGGGGCTGCCCTCACAGAGGGTTTAGAATTGCAACTCTTATTGAACGAGGCCTCTAGAATGTTTGTCAGAACTAGGCACCTAGATCACAGTACACCTGTCCTGAATCAATGGCAGCTGGTACTAGAGACAGGGCTTTCCCAGTAGTGGCCCCGCCTCACTGGCATTGGCTTTGCAGGGAGATGCACGTGGGCTCATCGGTGCTGATTTCAACAAGCAACAACACTTGAAGGCTCCTGTATTCCAGTCTGCATTTGGATGCCTTGGTAACTTTAACATTAGATGACTGGAATGCATTGTATGGGTTATGATGGATGATCCTTATTTTATTACACAATATGGTGGTTAGAGTACTAATGGGGACTGGGCACTTTTTAGAAAAGTACCCTTATTGCTTATCCATGTCTGGGCACACTTCATACTGCTGGTGATGGTCTTTAAATGCCAAGCAGAGAGGGCAGGCGGCTGGCACAGTTCTTCCTGCCCTGGTTGTGAGCGAGGCCGGGGCGGGAGGGTGCTCAGCTATCAGAGTCCCAGCACTGAGGCCGAAGATCTCAGACCCAGGACTCCATTAAATGCCATGACAGCCGCCCCCCAACAATGACAATGTCAAGAAGCTATAGGATTGTAGCCTCGGTGGGTTTCAGATAAGGAGCCAAAATGAAGAACAGCATGTGTTCCACTTTGCATAGGAAAAAAGTGCAAATCGATGGTGATAAGAAAGCAGGTTGAGGGGGGAAAAGTACAACTAAGAATATGTAGTGTGGTGATTAGAGAGTTTGTCTGGGGGTGTGAGGCATCCGGGTTCTAGTCCCCACTCAGCCATGAAGCTTTGGGCCAGTCACTCACCCACCCTCAGCCTCGTGGGGTCATTGCCGTGAGGATAAAGATGCAGCAGAGGAGGAGTCTGTGAACTGCTCAAGAGGAAAAATGGTGGGATAAACATACCATCTGATACTACTACTAATAATAATGCAATATGAGAAATGTGCTTAACAAATATAATTCTGTGAATAAATGATTTTATCCACATTTACCACCAATGATACAAACTCTAAATTGGGGGTGGTGCATTAAAAATCTCACCTGCTTTTGTAACCCGCTGTTTTTTGGATACCAGGAAAACCATATTTTCTTCATCAAGTTGAGCAGCAAGAGCATCACCATCCACCATATAATATCCAAAGATCTATAGCAAGCCAAACAAAGCACAATATAGCAAGCACAGCATCTGGCAGGTATGCAAAAATATGAATACACACACATACAACCTCCTAATGTTATATATATATTTTAAAATGTTATTTTAATTTATTGTTGTAAGCTGCCCCGAGGCTTTGGCGAATGGGGCGGCATAAAAATGTTTAAATAAATAAATAAATAAAGTTAGGTAGTCAGCAATCTCATCTATACTTAATTTTAAGATAAGAAGGGCATTGAGGCTTAATATTTTTATAAGCATTTTCATATCCTCGTTCATCCTAGTACAGGTCATAAGTAAGAGTATTTTCATGAGTTAAGTAACACCAAGAAACAAGTATTTAGCGAATCTGTTTGGGAAATGAAATCCATAACTTTCCTTGATGGCTAAACTGAAAAGCAAGCTCTTTAAAAAAATAGTATATATAAGGGAGGAGATCAGTGTAGAGATGAACAGTAAAGAAAAATGGGAGCAGGGGCAGAGAAGTAAAAACATGGCATTGAGGAGTGTACAGATCAGATATGTTAGTTAGAGAGTCATCCTAGCTAACAGCACATGAAGTAAGCATTTTATAAATAAATACATAGTTTCCTAAAGCCATAGGAAGAGACCTTAGACTGAGTCTGATCCTGGTTCTGTCTAGCCCAGCACTGTCTGCATGGAAGAGCAGCAGCTCTCTAGAGTTTGCAGCAGTAATTTTTCCAAACCTCCCCACAGATGCCGGGAACTGAACCAGGGCCCTTCTGTATGCAAAGCAGATGCTCCACCACTGAGTCACAGTTGGTTATGAATGCAGCTTAAATGCATTCTATAGTATTATCACATTCACCCTCAAAATTACCCTGTGAAGTTAGCTAGGTAAATAAATGGACAGAGATTTAGTCCCAGATTTATGCATGATTATCCTGCCCTTACATAAAGCATTTCATACATCTTTCCCAGTTTGCATTTTGATTTATAAAAGAAAACTGCAGGGTTCAGGAAGGTGTTCTAAATTCCATTAACAGAATATTTTGCCATAGGAAGCACAATGCTTTCACTTCTGATTGTGTGGTCATTTTTTTAAAAATCTGCTGCTTTTTGATGCAGCAAACATATATAAATCTCCCTTGTGTAAGGCAGCCTGGTAGAGTGATAAAATGATGGAAAGATCAAGTCTGGCATTTTTCACAGCTAATGTTAAGGACACCTTTAATCTCTAATGCATCATTTCTAAATGTTGTTTATGTAAGACAGGAAAATGGAAATGCCAAAGCCCTGAGAATCAGGCAAGCTATTTGTGTTTTTTGCTCCTGTCTCCTCTTGCACCCTCAGGCAGTTCTCCTCTTCGGGGTCCCCTTGACTTTTCTAGATATTGGGGATACCTCAATTTCTCTTATAAAAACAAAATGAGTCTGTTTGCCACCACAAGTATTAGAAAGTGAATAAGTGTAGATATTTTAAGTTCCCAAACTCAGAAAGGTAGTAATTAAAAACTTGATTTGCAATTATAAAATCAGAATTAGAAGGCTTTCATGTACACAATAAAATAAAATATTTCAGAATACAATAGAAACATACTGGTCAAAGAAGTAAGGCTCACACACTTTCAGAGCTAATAGAAATCTAAGAAAATGAGGCCATGGGCAACCATTGCTGCCCATCTTGTGTTGATTCAGACTAGTCAACTAAAACAATATTCCATGGCAAAGCGTATTACCTCTAAACTTCATCTGCAGCCCTCCTGTACCTCTCAAGTCCTATTTTTTAAACAGGGAAAAGATATCAGGATGGGAAGAAAAGAAGACTCTTCTTATGGTACCCAATCAATCAACACGAAGGCAAGAAACATGGCTTGTGAACAGTCACTCACAGGCATGATGACAAAATCTTTGTGCCAGTGATTCTAACTAAGCATTTGTGTCGAAGGATTGCAGAGAAGAAAGAAGGAAATTGTGGCTAGCAACTTGTTGAGTTTGGAGATTCCAGTCAAGAGCATTTACAGGGTACTCTTGACTAGTGGGAACCACCTCACCAGGGACAGGGTAGTGGTTGAAGGTTTAGGTTCTTGTTGTCCTAGAAAACGATATGAATATCCATAAGCCTTAAGACAGCTCTAAAATGAGGTTCATGGCTCTACTGAGATGAAAGACAGTGTGTCAATATCAAATATAGGCAGGCTTATTGCAAGAACAGAATTGTTTTAACAAACTCACTTTCTAAACAGTGCATCTTTCCCTTTGTTTTACAGACATTTACAACACAGCATATGGTTTAAGAGTCACTCAAGGAAAATAACCTTCGCCTTCAGAAGCAAATTTAGTTCCCATTTCAACAGCTAAGCTTTGAGCAAAGTGAGCATTTCTCAGCCAAGTACCTAAACCCTAAAGGATGTTCAAAGTTCCAGCTAAAGAAACATCTTTGGCATGTCAAGTGGAGCGGAGATATTTAGTTCCATGTCACTTGCCATGATGATCTCTACAGCTAATTTGTCTGTGAAAGCTCAGTGCTGTGCCCCAGCAGTGTCAAGGACTGCTTTGATGGCCCATAGAATCATTCATTCTTCACTTAAATTCATATTTTTCCTGAGTTTCCATTGCTGGGCACACCAAGATTGTATCTCTCAAAATGCCTAGCCTGTCTTCATTAATTCATTCATTCATCCTGCCAGTCCATTAACTTGTTACTCTCTGGAACTTGGATGTTCTTTTGTTCTAAATTATACCAAGAATTCACTTTGTTCAGTGTTATTACCAAGGAAAGTGAAATAGAAGCCTGATAATAAGCATTATTATTGCAGAGCCTTTATACAGGAACAGAACCTTTAAAGCAGGATTTAAAAGCTGCTGCAGGCAGCAGTGAATCCAAGTTATCAGTTGGAAAAGCAGCCCAGGGACTGGGGTCTAAAAAAAGGAATATTCATTGCCATCTGGAATGAATAAAAGTGGTAGCCTTGTTGACAGCATAAGACCAAAGGAAAATTATTAGCTATGATTGCCATCTGAAATGAGTAGACTTCACTGAAAAGCACCTTAATTGTGTCTGTGTGTGAGGGGGGACAGAATAGCTAAAAATGCATCATACATGTTTGTGGTTATAAGGTTGATGGCTTTTGCCCAATTGGGCCAAAAGAGCTTCAAGTAACTAGAATAAACCCATTAAGTATTGAAAGAATTGTTCAAAACATCAGTGAAAAGATGCAAAATACAGTGCAAAAAGTCTAGCATGGAAAAAAACCTCATTGATTTTCAGAAAAAAATGTTTATAGAGGCTGTAGTGTTGTCTGTCTTCAGCATATAATACACAATTCTTCCGTTTAACCTAACTGAGCAATACTCATTGATGTAATATTCCCAGTTAGTAATGCAACAGTATCAGAAACTTGGAAGCCATGGATGAAAACTTTTTCTCCTGGAAAAAATCAAAATTTGGGGCAAAACTGAAAAAAAGCAATCATTATATTTTAAAGGCTTCTTTTACAGATCTAAAGCCATGTGGTCAATTTAGGCTAGCCTTTCCCAACTTGGGGCCTTCTAGATACTTTGGAATATAAAAATATGTTTATAACTGCTGTATTAGAGAGCCAATGTAGTGTAGTGGTTAAGAGTGCAGGACTGGGACTCAGGCAAACTGATTTCTAGTCCCCGCTCAGTCATGGAGCCAACTGGGTGATTTTGGGCCAGTCACAGATGCTCAGCCCAACCTACCTCCCAGGTTGTTGTGGAGATAAGACTGAGAGCAGGAGGAGATGAAAGCTGCTCGGAGTTCCCACCTAAGAAAAAATTAGGTGGGATATAAATCTAATAAAATGTAAAAATGGTCTGCTCATCAGATTACTATCATCCTTAACAACTTTGAAAAGTAAACTCAGGGCACAGTTCCATGGTCACCAGATGATATCTGGACAGCCAAAGGCATTCCAGGGTCACGGATGGGACATTGACCTTGAAGCACCCCCTTCCCCCACAGCTGTACTCCAAGGCCACAACTTCAAAGCCAACATGAGGGACCATGCTAGCGGGGAGGGAGGGGCAAGCTCCTACCAGGATGCGAGGCATTCCAGCAGTGCCTCGGCCCCACCTTTGGCGCACAGTGACAAAGACATGGGCTGCCTCACCACAGGCAGCTCCTGCATGCTGCTGTCCCCGGGGCTCAATGTGGACTCCACTGTGCTTCCAGGCACAAGCCCTGTTTGTGCAACAGAGGCTCCAGCAGCCGAGGTGAGCAGAAATCAGCAAGGCCGTGGCTGTCAGAGCGGAGACTGGTTCCTCCTTGTAGTACCTCCTGGGGTACTGCTGGAGGAATGAGAGGGCAGGATGGAGCAGAGTAGCTGTGATGAACCTGATTGTCTGTTGGGCCCATCATGGGTACTTCACAAAACAACCAGCCCACCGTAGCTTATTGCTGGGTTGAGCTGTGCTGCGGTGCAGGGTCAAGCCCTGCCTTTCTCACAGTCTCCACCTCCTACCTACCTACCATCTTTTCCTCTTGTTAGCCAGAAGAAGGGAATAAAGAGCTCTGTGAAATTCTCACCCACTCTTGAGAAGACAAAAAGGATTTATAGACAGGAGTAAAATGATTCAAAAATAGCTTTCAAAGGGTTAATGGTGCAGTCTATGAAGCACTTTGCTATGGTCTCCTGAGCTAGTTGGTGAAAAGGGCTCTGTAATCAGTAGCACATTCACCTGAATGGAACTATATGGACCCCAATTGCCTCTCTAGTCAATTGCATCCCACCTTCAAGTGCTCGATATTCATTGCTTCAGTAGTATAATATTTTAAACACGAAAAACAGAGGTGCCATTTCAAAAGGCAGCAGAGGAGAGAACTCCAGGATGGAAGATCTACTTTCTGTCAGAGCAAATCATGGCTGTTTGGGAAAGTGCTTGCAAATGTTGCTATTATTTAAGGTCCCCACATGTGTGCACCCCACACATCTAGATTGGGAACCACACATAGAGAGTAGCAGGGCTTTAAAGATCGGGATCTGCTCCCCTGCATCTAATGTAGAATTTAAAAAAAATCACAAATGATTTAAAGTCCTTTTTGCTTTCACCCAAGCATTCATCAGGCGTCAGGGTTCATACTGGAGGCTGACTGGCGCCCCTTTGAAAAAAACAGAGCAGTCTGCGTGGGTTATGAAAAAGCATAGTGGTAATGATGCTGGAAGCTGGCTGCTGGGAGTTGTGGCTTCCCTCGCTCTTTCTCTCTCGTTCAGATAGAGAGACCCTGGAGTCTGCTTGCTGAATATACAGCAGGACTGAGTGGATAATATTCTCACTCATGGTTCTCTGAGGCAATCCAAAAAAATCCCCAATCAAGCGTGGGCTGTTATCCAGGGATAACTCGTCAGTTAGATAAAGCATCTACAGAATGATTTGTGTTTTGTAAGAATTGCCTTTATAAGACAAAAACCCAGGCTTCTCTAGGTCATTAGTACAGTAAGAATTGCCAGAGTTCATGTTCTCATAAGTGCTTTTCACAGTCACTGTACTGTACTTGAGACAATGACACTTAGATTATCTCAGAGTTAAGAAAACATCCCCACTATCACACAGCAAGTGATCTACCATGACACTTAATTGAGTTCATGCAGCTTCACCTTATGTTGGACTCTTAAATCAGGAGCTGCTCTTCTACTTGGGCACTTCCACTTCCATTGTGAGCATAATCAAAATGCTTGCAAGGTAAGCCTTTGCTGTCTCCACTGTTGGGGCAACTTTCCAGCCTTTGCTCATAAATCCCTTGCATCTTGCCCTCTTCTTTTAGTAAAGCTTTTCCAGACCATCATAGACTGACCTTACAGCATCCCCCATTATAATGAAACTCTCTTCTTAGCATACCACTCATATTCCTGGAATGCCAGATAGACAGCCCCTTGAGATACTAATAAAAACACCCTAGCCTGGATCCAAAGGAGAAGTCTATCAGCATGAGGGAACTTGTTCTCCTCCGTACCTTCCAACCCCTGCACCGGACCCAAATCTGCACCAAAGGGCCTCTCAACCTTCTGAAGCAGATTCCAGCGGGCAGGAGAAATCGAAACCACCAGAAATTTCTTCCTTCTGGTAGAGCACTTCCACTGCATACAAGCCACTGTGTTCTTATTCCATATTTCTCTCCACAATAGTTTTCTCATGGTTAATGAAAAAATTGGAAAAAGTGGAACCAAAACAGAGAAAGAGTACAAATGAAAGATCAAATTGTATGGCTCTCTCATAAAAAGTCATCCTGGAAGCAGGGCATCATACAATATAAGCCTTATCTGGAAGCACTGCGAGACTCTAGCTACTCCGTCCTTTTTGCTGCTAGCCTAGCAAAGGTGGTTCTAGAGACAGTGGTAATAGAAAGCAGACCAGTGTCACATCAGTTATACTCCATACTAATGGCCTTCATTTTTTCCCCAATCCATAATACAGAACTGATGGGTTTGACCTTGGCTGTAGTTTAGGCAAATAAATATGCCATAAGAAAATAAACAAACTTACCTCACACCATTCTGTCCGTCCATCTGGGTTGTTGCTAATCTTCCTATAAAAGGTTTTAACATCTTGGGTTTTCACCTCTGGACCAAAAAGGTCCTGAACTGCAGCAAAGAATTTATCATAATCCATTTCCTCTGCAGTGAAACAAAAGAAGCCCCCATAGAATATAAATATAAAAGCTAGCCAATTAATGCGGCTATTTTTACTACTTTCCCCACGATTGCCTCAGTGTGCTGATGCTGAAATATGTCATCAGTGTCTGAGATTTTATTTTTGTCTTCATTTCATTTAGAAGCCTCATCAGCTTTTTCTATGACTAAAAATGTTCTTATTTCTGAAAAAGCATAGCAGTAAACTCCAGCTTCCCAGAAACTAGTATTTTAAAAAGCTAAGGGCATAACCCTACACACGTTTAGACAAAAACAAGCCCTACAACTCTCAGCAGTCTAGCAATGCTGCATGTTGTAGGCCTTTTTTTCCTGCTTAAGCATGCATCAGATTCTGCCCTAGTGTGAGAATGAAGAGGCAAATGTAGAGTACCCATTGAAGGTAATTTAATTAAGGAAGCATTCTCTCCTATGCTTCAAATGAATCTGCCTGTGCTTTAAAGTCAGTGTCAGAGAGCCCACTCATTTAACAGAGCAATCCTGTGGATGCCGCACAGCATCGAGACAGCCATAGGACTGCTTGGAGCCCCAGCTCCAAAGCCAGCCGCTCATGGCAACCTTGTAGCTGGGGATCCCTATCCAGATGACCCTCCCCGCTCACAGAAGGACTGCACCAGCTGTGTCTTTGAGGCTGACCTTGGGGACAGGCTTTTAGGGTTATTCCAAGAAGCCCGGGGGTGAGCTATATGCAGGTGGCACCTCAGCATCCTTCCAGTCCAAAGTACTGCAGTTAAAAGTTGATCTTTGCTTCTGTACTCTTTCCACCCTCCGTGGGACACTGGTAACCCTCCAAGTTGATAAGGTTATGAACAGCCTGATAGGATTCTGCCCTAAATCAGTTAGATTTTGTGCAGGAAGCACAGGGCCTTCTCAGAAGTAGCTGCTACAATATGGAACTCCCCTGTTTACTCTGTTTATGAAAGCTTTGCATCTCTGCCTATTCCAAATGGCTTTTATGTATTTTATTGGTCACACTGCTGTTTTATTGCTGTGGCTCTTGATTTTTCCTTTTTTATAATAATTGAATTGTATTTTAATGGACGGTTAGTGTTGCTTTTATATGTTTCGAATTTATTTATTTATTTAAAACATTTCTATGCTGCCCCATCGCAATAAGCCTCGGAGCGGCTCACAACATCAAAAAAAAAAAAAAAAAAAAAAATAACCATACATTAAAACCCCAATACAATAAAACCCCAGAATTGTAAAGTATTACCATTATTACTCTCCACCTAATATCCAATTTCTCCATATATTTTGGGTGTTGCCTTTGTGTACATGGTTCAGAAAAGCAGCTCCTCGGTATTTAAACAACCCAGTTTGTTTTCCCTTAAACACTTGTCTAAGGTCTTTGTCAACCTTGATGCTCCTTACCAGCATCTTTTATGTACAAGCCTAATCGTTCCTCCTTCTTCTGAGCCACCGTTTTGTCAACTAGTCTCTGAAATAGCTTCAAGGAATTTTTAAAGCAGGTTCCATCGGGAATGTCGGGCGGGTCGTCTTCTATAAGCATTCTTCTGGACATTATTTTGGCTGAGAGGGCTGGAACTCGACAAGATCTCTTTTCTCCACTCCGTGATGCTGCCCAGCCTGCCTTCTTTTTTTGTAATATTGGATGTTAGCATCTGAGGAAATGCCAGCTGCATGACCTTACGTGTTGCTTAGGTGAATGGAAAATGATGGTGGCTCTGCCCAGGCAGCAGGCCAAGGGGCCATCAAGTCCCTGATGTCATAACTCCTCATTCAGCCCCATTGGTCATTGGGACAACTTAGATCACAAACCAGCATAACTGGCAAGCATGAAGTGCAAAGTGGGAGCAGGCTCAAGGTTTTTTTAAAGGTGGATTTATCGTACAGGGACACCATCTATCTTGATTCGGCAAATTGCATAGGAACTACATTCTTTTCTCCTTCCATCTCGCCCGGCCTGTGTCAGGAATTGGGACACAATTAAAGACAATGGCTAAAGGGCATGGAAAATTAAGAGAAAAAACAGAATACATAAAATAGGATATCTGTTTATTTAATTAATTCCTATACCGCCCAATAGCCAGAGCTCACTGGGTGGTTCACAGAGCACCATATCATGTTTAATATGATATGGTGTATCTTTTCTTGTCACACCGTATCATATTAAACATATTAAAACATTATCAGAAGTTGACACTGCACCATTTAAAACCAAATTTTAAAGATAACTTTTAAAAATCTTCAGACCTGTTTAACAGCTAGCAGACTCCAGTAAGCTACTTGAATACTCTGCTGTAGAAGATTGCTTTTACTGCCACAAAAAAGATAATAAAGTTGGTGCCAGGTGGGCCTCAGTAGGAAGTGGTGCCACAACTGAAAAGGCCCTTCTCCTTGTTGTCATCATTCAAGCCTCCCAGAATTTGATTGTAGCATTTGGGCAGATGAAAGTTGGGAGAGGTTTTCTATCAGGTATCGTGATCCCAAGACATGTAGGACTTTATATAAGTTAAAACCAGCACCTTGCATTGGAAAGATACAGGCAGCTAGTGCAAGTGGACCAGAATTGCTGTTATGTGATCAGATTATCTGATCCCTCTTATTAGCCTGCCTGCCGCTTTTTGTACAAGCTGCAGCTTTCGAACAGTCTTCAAGGGCAGCCCTAGCTGGACTGCATTGCAGTAATCTAGCTTAGAGAAATTTTATTAGAAGTCCACACAAAGGCAAGTAGAGAACATCTGTCTGCATTTAAATGAGAGCCTAGACATACCACAGGCCAAACTTCCCATCCTGGTGCCTTTGAAATGTTTTGGATTTCAACTCCCATCAATTCTAGCTACCATAGCCAATGGTCAGGAATGCTGGGCATTGTAGCCCAAAACATATCAAGGATACCAAGTTGGGGGAAAACTGTCATGAGGGTCTAAACTAGGAACAGGCGAGTGCAGGAGCTTCAGGGGCCATCCCCACAGGCTGCATGCCTCCTGGGAGCCAAAAATGAAGCCCATAGTGGCTAAAACCTCTAATGTTGACCCTTTTGGTGCCCCATGGCCTCTACAGATGCCATTTAGTTAGGGAGGGTGATTAGTTTTGCCAACAGCAGGAGCTACACGCAGCACACAGGCCAGTTTTTGCCCATGCCTCGTCTAAAGAAAAGGCACAATGAAGCAGCTTGGATTTTACATGGAAAACAAAGGCCTAGACGTTCTTTTAGTTACTCTCTTGACTTTACTCTTTCCCTTATGTACTTGAATGAATATTTAATCCTTACGTAAGTTAGGCCCACCAGTCGGGCATAAAAAGATTGTCAATGAGACTTTGGTTACGCCTGTGCCTGTATTGCCCTGCTGTTCACTGTAGGACAATTTGATAAACTCCTTCTCAACCCAGAGGATGATTACCAAATGCCCTTAAAGCTGCTTCTTTGCCTCAAACACTCTCTGTAAATGAGAGGAGAAGGGGGAGGCCTTTGTTTGCTTTAATCCGTTCATGTAATTGTTGCAATTAACAGAGCTATGTTGTCAGTTGTTCCTCCAGGAGTTGTGTATGCCTCAGAAGGTGTGAATGGAGAATGTCTTTTCCTTTGCAGGCAAAGCCAGTGGAAGGGAGGAGATGCTCTGAAGCAAAGGCAAATAGGTCAAATAAAGAATTAGTGGACTATTTCTCAGAGGAAGGATTGGCTATCTCAGAGAGGGCACAGGAAAAGATGTTGAAAGTTCTGATGGCAGCTTTAGGACAGAAACATTGGTGTGTATTGATAATGTGAAAGGTGTCAAGCGGCATGCTGATCCTCTGTCAGGATCTCGTTTCTGGATGGGGCTGTTTGTGCCATCTGATATTACAAAATATAAAGAATTATGGAGCATCTCAAACTGCTCCCCACAAGAAACTGGGCCATCCCAGGAAGGCTTTGGAAGGCATCAGCAGAGGATCATGCAAACCACTGCACATTTCTCCTTCCCAGTCACCTGGCCAGTTTGAGCTGTGGGTGTGCAAGTCTGGATGAGGAGGTGGATTGGACAAACAGGGAGGGCAGGCTTAGAGGCCTTTCCCCCAGGTTCCTTGGGCTTTGGGTCTATGTCTTTTCCTTTGAAAAACTGTGAGACTGTGGCATTATTTCTCTTAAAGGAAGTGTGGGTCCTAGTGCCACATAGGTTCACCAAACTCAAAGGGACGGTTCTCCCCTTGCAAAGGCATTCAGTTTCCCAAGTTTTACAGAGTGCTACTGTGCAAAATACACCAAATCATGTTATTCTGCTGACCAAGAAAAACTGAGGTGGTTGTTTGTTTAATATTTGTCTTCCATGATTTGTTGGCCAGGTCTAGGACTTAAGCCAAGTCTAGGAATCCAGTGATTAGCAGTGTCTCAGTCACAAATAGGTGGAACCATGTGATCCAGTGCTGTGTTTGTGTTTTGTACTTCGCTTCTTCCCATGTGTCTGGTTCTCTAAAACTGTATTTTATTTTACATTGTTGTACTGTTAAATGTCCTGAGACTTTGATAAGGGACTTTGGTCTAGGAAAGTTTTAAATAAATAAATAATAATAAATAAAGCTCTGTACAGCAAAATGAGTTTTTATTTCCCCTCTTTCAATTTCTCCCTGCTAGTTAGATGGTAATATTACAAACATTTTCTTTCATTCATTAGAAATGCTGTTTTTCTTATCTCCACCCACAGTAAGATCCTGTGAGTGGTTCAGCCTGATCAACTGAATCAATTGTGTTGGAATAAACTTTTAAGCAGCACAGAATTGAATGTATGACTAGAAACTAACAGTTGTATCTAATGTTAGTTCTACTTAGAATAAGCCTATTGAAATACATGGAATTTAAGTTAGACTAACATTGGATGTATCAATTCAAGATTACTTCTTTCATTGCAAGTATGAGGCAATTTTAAATAATAGTTTTAGAATTACTTGATAAATATTTCCATCCATTATATACACTGCAGGAAGAACGTGCAGAAAGACATGTCGTGCTAAGCAGTAGCAAAATTCACAAAAGGTTTCCTTCACCTTTATGGCTTTTTATGGCTATGTGGTTCAGCCATATATAGTTGTGCTACATCCCCACTGATTTGTTACTTGCCTTGAAGATTGATAAAAGAGGTCCAGAGAGGAAAGCCCAGTGTTGTTGCTGTGACGTGCTGACTTGTGACCCTGTGAATGGAAGCCCTCCAAAATGTCCTGCCTTTCACAGTCTGCTCAGATTTTCTAAACTCAAGGCCATGGCTTCCTTTATGGAATTGCTCCATCTCATAGTTGGTTTTCCTCTTCGTCTTCTGCCTTGAAATTTCCTTAGCATGATTGTCTTCCCCAGGGAGTGTTGCCTTCTCATGATGTGCCTGAAGTATGTCAGCTTTAGTTTCATAATTTTTGCTTCCGGGGAAAGTACCGGCTTGATTTAATCCAAGCCACACTTGTTTGTCTTTCTGTTAGTCCAGTGCTCTCCACCAGTACCAATTTTGAACACATCAATTTTATTCCTATTAGGTTTCTTCATTGTACAGGTTTGACACCCATACATAGCAGCCAGGAACACAATAGTGTGAATGAGAGCCAGTGTGATGTAGTGGTGAAGAGCATGGGACTGGGACTCAGATGACCTGGGTTCTAGTCCCCGCTCAGCCATGCAGCCAACTGGGTGACTTTGGGCCTGTCACAGACTCTCAGCCCAACCTACCTCACAGGGTAGTTGTTGTGGGGATAAGATGGAGGAGGAGAATGATGTAAGCTGCCTTGAGCCCTTTGTAGGAAAAAGGCAGGATATAAATAGAAAAATAAATAAATAAAATAAAATAAAATAAAATAAAATAAAATAAAATGAATTTGGCCTTGGTCTCCAGGGCAATGTTGCTTATAAAAAACCACGAGGGATTCAGGAAATGTTTGTGTGTCTGAACTATAGAACAGATGTCCTGGAGAATAAAGATTGATCATGATTTTTGCAGAATTCACATCATAAAGCTGTAAGATCTGGTTCCTTCTGGGATCTATGAAAAGAATCTCAAACAATATCTCATTTTCTTCCCCTTGTGCCTTACTCAGTATGGTGAATCTGAATGCGATTCGTATTTTGTTAAAATCTATGATTTTACTTTTGGGGATTTTATTTTTTAAATACAGTTACAAATACAGGCAAGAAAAAAATGAAACACCTACATAAAAATATGAGCTCACCAATGAAGCGGGGAAGGAAAATAATTGTTTATAGTCTTAGCAGGTAAACCAATGAGGCAATTAGGAAAAAAACAGTCAAAAGAAATGCCAACTATTGACAGAATGTTATGTGTAATGTGGCCAAATTATGGTCAGAAAAATATGTAACTGTGTGTCATTAGAATGTGATCAGAAATTAAACAATGATGTTAAAGATCTTTTTCATTTTATTCTTTGAACACTGAGAATCTATACTTGTTGCACTTACTGAGTAAATTTATACAAAATCCTATCCTTTCAAGGTAGCTTGGAACATGCCCAATTATGACTTTGCCTATGGATACAATCGCTTTAAAAGGTTTTAATGCAGGAATCCAAGGTAAT